TGAACCAATAAAGAATGCAATATCATTTGTTTATTATTGTAACAGTAGAGAAGAACTAAAAAATAAAAGACCGCGTATTGATAATGTGTTGAAACAACGTGATTCAACTGCTCGAATACATCGTCACGATTGTGGAGGTACAATTCGGATGAATATTGACCGAACAAATAATTTAATTACAATTAATATCTACCATTACCTCCACTTACCACCTGAAGCAACGGATGTTACACCACAAGTACGTGAATATATTGCCAAGAATCACTTATTGACAGTTCCACAACTCTATGAAAATATCAAAGAAGAAAAAATTGATGGGTTCTTACATCTTACTCGGCATCAAGTATACTACTGGTTCAAAAAAATTTCGATAAATGAATATAAATTGGCGGATAATCAATTAGAATCGGCCCAACAATATTTAAATAATCGTTTAGATTTTAAAGTTCTTTTTCAGGATGGTCATTCATTAGCTTTTTTAACACCATTACTATTTATATTACCGAAACATGTTACAAATACAGTTGTCGTTGATGCTACATATGGAACAAATCGATCAAAATTTGAGTTATACGGAGTTCTTGGAATCATCGATGGTTCTGGATTTCCGCTGTCTTACTTTTTTTTAGAACCAAAAAGTCCACAAGGCAGAACGCAAGCATTAATAAAATGGTTTGATCATTTGAAAGAAAATGGAATACAAAAAGTTAGGACTTTTTTAACTGATAAGGATCGTAGTCAAATTACAGCAATTAATAGAATTTGGGCTGATGCGAAAGTCCAATTATGTTATTGGCATGCGATACGGGCTATTAAAAAAAAGCTATCAAGTACTGGGATTACATATAATTCTTATAATGCAAATGAAGCGCACAAACTATGTTCATTTATTAATCCAAGCTGGCAACCCGTTCGTGCATTTGTTGATAATGACAAAAATAAAGTTTTTTGTCAAAAAAATTTTCGCGAAAATATTCTTCAAATGTTTTGCATCCATTTTTCAAAACACCCAATGATTCCTATAGAAAATTTAGGATTTTTAAATACTGAAAAAATTTGGATTGCTAGTGTCAAAGAACAATTCGATTATTGCTATCAACATAATCTTGCTCACGTGTGGGCATATTTGTATACAGAATGGTACTG